TTTTTCTTCACTCGTTCAAAACTTATAGCTCCGTCCCGGGAGTTTTGGGAAACCTGTATTATTAAGTTATCCTATTATTAAGTTATTATAAAACTTTAAGTTATTAGTTCCAAATAAAGCATATTATGAATATCAAAATGTTTACGTCATTTCTACCATGTTGTTATAAAACGATATTGGTTTATTGGTATATGAACTTTTAGATTTCTTTTAGCATGATCTAAAAGGCAGAACTTTTAACGACATAATAAGCTCTCTATTATTTGTTTGCTAAATAGTTGTTAACTAAGGAGTTATTTAGTTCAGTAGTGCACGCAACAATTATTTAGCAAAGACTATGTTTGAGATTTTATGAAGAAGTAAAATGTTCGGCCTACAGGTTATGCTAAAACATCTTTGGCGGTAAATAATGCCAAAAATACATCAAATCTTCACCTGAGATATCCGGTGTTATCGACTCAAGAACTATACATATTAATTCAAAAATAAGTATTATTAAGCGAAAAATATTTACTTTTCATTTAAATATAATTATTATTAAACCAAGAAAAAGCTTATTCATATAAAATAACTATATATCTTTACATCAAGAATATTTTTATTCTTAACTGTAGAATTCCAAAACTCTTTGCAACCAAGAATATTATTTCTTGAAAATTAAGAATATTCATCTTTTTGGTACAAGATTTTACACCGTTTCATGCTTTAAGATTATCTTATTTTTGCGGATATACTAACAAATCATTTATTGGAATTAAGGGTAATATGTTTGACTCAAGCATAAATTTCTCTCTGTGTAGAATTAGAATCATTTGGGTTTAACCGCACGTCTCTAGAAACGGCTAAACCCGAATGATTCTAGTACTAGGTATAGTGTTAGTTCTAGTGATAGTGCTAGTGTAAAACTAGAATTAATAGACCGAAAACTAGAAACATTCGGATTTAGCTGAACGGCTTTCAAGACTGCTAAACCCGGATGATTTTAGTTGTAGGTCTTGTGTTAGTTCTAGTGATAGTGCTAGAGTAAAACTTGAACTAACACCAGACCTAGAACCAGCAACATTCGGCTTTAGCCGTCTTAAAAGACTAACGGCTAAACCTGAATGTTTCTAGTTCATGGTCTAGTTTTAGTTCAATAAGGATTAACAACAATCTAGCGCTGAATAACAATTAAAACTAGAACTAACAAGAACTAGAACTAGAAACATTCGGGTTTATCTGAAGACGCAAGCTTCAGTTCTAGTTCAAATTTCTAGTTCATGGTCTAGTTTTAGTTCAATAAGGATTAACAACAATCTAGCGCTGAATAACAATTAAAACTAGAACTAACAAGAACTAGAACTAGAAACATTCGGGTTTATCTGAAGACGCAAGCTTCAGTTCTAGTTCAAATTTCTAGTTCTAGGTCTAGTGTTAGTTCTAGTTTTATATCTTTAGATATAACACCAGACCTAGAACCAGCAACATTAAGGTTCACCCGTCTTGGGAAACGAAGGGCTAAACCCGAATGCTTTTAGTTCTACTGCTAGTATTAGTTCTAGTTTTATATCATCAGAACAAACACCAGAACTAGAACCAGCAACATTCGGGTTTAGCCGTCTTGAGAGACGAAGGTCTAAACCCGAATGTTTCTAATTCTAGGTCTAGTGTTAGTTCTAGTTTTATGTCATTAGAACTAACACCAGACCTAGAACCAGCAACATTCGACTTTAGCCGTCTTAAAAGACTAATACTGCTAAAACTAGAACTAACACTAGACCGAGAACTAGAGCCAATACCGAAAATTTTGTCTTGTCCACTCAATGTAAATGTTCCTTCTCTGAAAAAAATTATGTTTTTGACAAAGTTTTCGTCATCGTTACAAAATTGTTGTAGCAGAAATTACCATTGCTCGTGAATGAAGATATTTTTAAAATTTTGCGAACCGTTAATTTACTAATGTGTAAATTTAACCCAATACTCATTACAGTAATATGAGAGTTTTCTTGCCCAGCCAAAACCACGTTTTGATGAACCTCCTCTGAAACATTTGGTCGACCAGACTTCGAAAAATCTCGTGCTTTTTAAATTTAGTCACAACTAGGCTTACCATACTTTGGCTAATGAGTTGGCGATCAAGATATGTTCCATTAAAGAGGTCAACTACAGTGAAGACCGGTTATAACGAGCAGTCAAGGGACCGAAATAATTGCTCGCTATAGACGGTACCTCGTTATAACCAAGGTTGTCGTAATATGTAACATAAATTTTAATACTTGTGCAAAAAGTAGTAACCAGCAATTTTAANAATAAGTATTATTAAGCGAAAAATATTTACTTTTCATTTAAATATAATTATTATTAAACCAAGAAAAAGCTTATTCATATAAAATAACTATATATCTTTACATCAAGAATATTTTTATTCTTAACTGTAGAATTCCAAAACTCTTTGCAACCAAGAATATTATTTCTTGAAAATTAAGAATATTCATCTTTTTGGTACAAGATTTTACACCGTTTCATGCTTTAAGATTATCTTATTTTTGCGGATATACTAACAAATCATTTATTGGAATTAAGGGTAATATGTTTGACTCAAGCATAAATTTCTCTCTGTGTAGAATTAGAATCATTTGGGTTTAACCGCACGTCTCTAGAAACGGCTAAACCCGAATGATTCTAGTACTAGGTATAGTGTTAGTTCTAGTGATAGTGCTAGTGTAAAACTAGAATTAATAGACCGAAAACTAGAAACATTCGGATTTAGCTGAACGGCTTTCAAGACTGCTAAACCCGGATGATTTTAGTTGTAGGTCTTGTGTTAGTTCTAGTGATAGTGCTAGAGTAAAACTTGAACTAACACCAGACCTAGAACCAGCAACATTCGGCTTTAGCCGTCTTAAAAGACTAACGGCTAAACCCGAATGTTTCTAGTTCATGGTCTAGTTTTAGTTCAATAAGGATTAACAACAATCTAGCGCTGAATAACAATTAAAACTAGAACTAACAAGAACTAGAACTAGAAACATTCGGGTTTATCTGAAGACGCAAGCTTCAGTTCTAGTTCAAATTTCTAGTTCATGGTCTAGTTTTAGTTCAATAAGGATTAACAACAATCTAGCGCTGAATAACAATTAAAACTAGAACTAACAAGAACTAGAACTAGAAACATTCGGGTTTATCTGAAGACGCAAGCTTCAGTTCTAGTTCAAATTTGTAGTTCTAGGTCTAGTGTTAGTTCTAGTTTTATATCTTTAGAAATAACGCCAGACCTAGAACCAGCATCATTAGGGTTCAGCCGTCTTGGGAAATGATGGGCTAAACCCGAATGTTTTTAGTTCTAGGGCTAGTATTAGTTCTAGTTTTATATCATCAGAACAAACACCAGAACTAGAACCAGCAACATTCGGGTTTAGCCGTCTTAAAAGACTAACGGCTAAACCTGAATGTTTCTAGTTCATGGTCTAGTTTTAGTGCAATAAGGATTAACAACAATCTAGCGCTGAATAACAATTAAAACTAGAACTTAGAACTAGAAACATTCGGGTTTATCTGAAGACGCAAGCTTCAGTTCTAGTTCAAATTTCTAGTTCTAGGTCTAGTGTTAGTTCTAGTTTTATGTCATTAGAACTAACAGCAGACCTAGAACCAGCAACATTCGGCTTTAGCCGTCTTAAAAGACTAATACTGCTAAAACTAGAACTAACACTAGACCGAGAACTAGAGCCAATGCCGACAATTTTGTCTTATTCATTCAATGTAAATATTCCTTCTTTGGAAAAAATTATGTTTTTGACAAAGTCTTCGTCATCGTTACAAAATTGTTGTAACAGAAATTACCATTGCTCGTGAATGAAGATATTTTTAAAATTTTGTGAACCGTTAATTTACTAATGTGCAAATTCGACCCAATACTCATTACAGTAATATGAGAGTTTTCTTGCCCAGCCAAAACCACGTTTTGATGAACCTCCCCTGAAACATTTGGTCGACCAGACTTCAAAAAATCTCGTAGATGCCCATGCTTTTTAAATTTAGTCACAACTAGGCTTACCATACTTTGGCTAATGAGATGGCGATCAAGTTGTGTTCCATTAAAGAGGTCAACTACTTACTAAATCAGTTTTTGACACTTTTGAATTGACCTATGAATTGTTACTAGAAATAAAACCCCCAAAAATGTGATTTTGGCAAGTATAGAAAAAAAATTAACTGTATGATCGTTTAAAGCTAGTCAACAAAACATGGCGCTAGTGTGATTTTTAAATGTTAATACTTTAATCCGATTTCAGAAAAAGAATATATTGTTGATGTGTAAATATACATCTAGTCACTGATCAATTTTTTTAATAGTTTGAAAATATGGTTAATTATAAATAATTTATCCTTATTTTTTGATTCTTAAAATTATTTTTAAAATTATATTTGTTTCAACTTAATTAAAATAAAAATAAAAAAGACTACTTCTTCCTTTTGTAAATAATTCTATTAAGATTTTTTTGTTTAATAAAATAAATTTGTCCACTATTTTGTGATATAATTTAAGGGCCGGATGTGCAATACTACAAATCGATAAAGTTTCGGTTTGTACGCAATATTAGAATTTATAGTTGTTTCCTTATAATTTTTAAATAACTTTTAATTAAACTGTAGCTTTGCTTTAGTTTTTACGACCAAATAAAAACTCGAGACGAACGATCTTGCCGATAACGTATTATCATCGTATTTCTATGAAACATTGATAAGCAAAACGGCTATCTTGCCAAATAAACTGCATCGATGTGCAATATCTCTTGTGCAATATTTTTTAACACTTCCTTTTTATACGCAATATTATCATCTTAAAAAATTACGCTCGATTTTTTTTGCTACTTTAATTTAATGATTAAATTATAAAATTAATAATATATATAACCTAATTTAATCATGTACAGTGCAATATTTTTTTATATACATATTTTAGATACCGATTTAGTTTTAAATTAAAATTAAGAAATCAAATGCTCAATATTAAATAATAATAATAAACAAAAATGTTAATGAAAAACATAGGAAAATTTTGTAGCACATTTCATTTTATTCGATATATTTTTTTAAATAAATAAATGTAGTCGCATGCTTGTACGTACCTGCAATTGTATAAACAAATCATAAACGGACTTAAAGGGTGAGGTGTTTGCAAAAATAAAAAAAAAATATGGGGAGGTACTTGAATTTGGGTTGCGGTGAAGGAAATTCGGGGAAAACGCGAAATATGTTAATATTTCATGGTTATCCCTAAAAAATATTATTACCAATTTAATTTCAAAACTCAATTAATTTTAAGCACACATTATAAAAACTCATATTTTATATTATCTTTTTATTATTATCTCCATTTTTATTTCTTAAAATATTATTCCTCAACTTGTTACGTTTATTTTTTTATTTCTTTTTTATGTTTAAATGGTGTTCAGAGTATTATAAAAAATCGTTTTTCTTATTATTATTTTTGTAAATATCTAGTTTTTGTTGTAATTTATTTTGTAAGCAATTATGGGAAAAAATAAACTATTATTTGTTAAAAAATACTTTATTTAATATTCAAATACATTCATACTTCATATTTTTATTCTATAGCGCTCAACATACAGGTAATGAAGTTAACTCAAAATCCATCTTCATTCGCTCGAGAATTGAAAAATTTTTCAAAAAAGATTGCGGTGAAATTATTTATTAAATGTGATAGGTACATATGTTTCGAGACATATATCTCGTCTTCAGGCACGACTAAAATGAAACTTGTGATAAATTAAGTATCACAATAAATATTATCTTAAATAATTACCGTCAACAGTTTACTTAGAAGTACATGTAAACAAATAAATAATGTTTCTGTGATCAATGTGTAAAAATGAAATTGAATTTTGAACAATTATATGTCTATTTAGTTTAAATTTATAAAATTCATGAAAAATCATCTAATTTAAAATCATATCACCTTTCAGTTTTTTATGTTTTAAAATTTCGAATTATTCTATTAAGTCCAGTTCTCTGGATTTGTTAATCAATCTCATTAAATGTATGTTGTTAGGATTACAGTTATGGTTCTCAGCTTTTAAATGTCTACAAAATGCTGAGGAATTCTTTGTTAGGTGTTTTTTAGCTCTAACTTTTACGTTCCGTCCCGTCTATCCAATATAAAATATATCACAGTCCTCACATGTAATTTTATAAAGTCCTAAGCTAAGTTGTAAATTATTAAATCTGTGGTTATTGTTTAACAATAAATGTCCTAGTTTTTTATTTGAAGTAAAAGTTAAGTTAATAATATAATATAATAGTAAATTTCTCTTTACATGCATTAACGATGGATGAAAATTCAACGTGATAAAGTGTTGAGGATATATGATTCTTAATCATACATGTTAAGGTAAACATTCTGCATATCACGTAGATTAAAACCGTTATTGTAACCAATCTTTAGGATTTTTTCAAGTCTAAAATATAATCATCTGTGTTTAGTGGAAAATTTATTACTCTATGAAATAAAAATCGGAATGAAGCAAGTTTATGTTGGGTGCAGCTATATGAAGATTTGGGTATAATATCGAATCGGTACATGTTGGCTGCTTAAAAATGTTAAATTCTAGTTTGTTGGTGGTATAATTCTCTTATTTCTACATCTAAGAAATTTATTTTCAGATTGGATTCTCTTTCAGTTGTGAAATTGAGTGAACACAAGTTACCAAACAAATTCCGAAGCGCATGAAATTTTGCATCATTGCTCTCGTATGCGATTAAGATATAGTCTACATATCTATAATAAAAGTTTATGTTTTCATTAACTAGTTTGTATTTATTTGTAAAAGATTCAAAATAGTTGACATAGATGTCTGTCAAAATGCCTGAATGGAAGATCTCATTGGAAGACCGTACGTCATTCGATAGTATTGTTTATTATTAAATAAGAAAGAATTTTGACTACAAATCAAGTCTAGGAGGTTGGAAAGTGCTACTAGGCTTTCGAATTTCAGTTGCAATTCAGTGTGCTTTTCTATTAGGTGATTCTTTATGATAAAAATAGTCTCTTTAATAGGAATATTGACGCAAAGATTTGTGATATCGAATGATATAAGTTTAGTATTCTTGGAAATAATTAAATCTTTGGTCCTTTTTATAAGATCCTGCGAGTTTTTAATATTGTAATGAAGTTTATCTTTAAAGGTTGTATAAAGGAATTTCTGGATGATTGCAGCAACTCGACTTGTTGGGGTATTATTATTGCCAATAATAGGTCTAATACTTTTGTCCTCTTTGTGTAGTTTGATTAAACTTTTTATTGTGAGTATTAGGTAAGGTTAGCCACCTACCTGGCCTTCACGTTAAAAGGATCACAGAAACCACCACCACATTGGGTATAAAAACAGGCCTATGGCCTATCAGCTAGCAATTACTAGCCAGAAAGAAGAAGAAGAAGTACTCAACATATTTACATGACATTTTTTTCTTGTTTTAAAAGCGTTAAGATGTTGGATTTTAGACATTTAGCGTCTCCAAAAAACTAAGGAGTTTGTTTCATTCGCCTTTCTCCATCGCCAGTTCTTTGGCTTCTGTTCATAATTTGCCCCGTTTTCTAAGTATCTTCCCTGATTTCCTTTAGTCTTCCCCTCCTCATCTGTATCTGTCTCCCTTCTTATTTCAGTACCCAACAACTCAGTTGTTTACTCTTTATATACTCCAAAATGTTCTTTACTTCCAGTTCTTCTCTGACCTCTTTATTTCTAATTTTGTGTCACCTTGTCATGTTTTTTATTGTTCTTAGAAATTTCATATCTGTTGCTTGGATCTTCTTTTTGTCATTACTCGCTTATATATTTTAATTATTACCTACAGAGTTGAAAAGGAGGATCAAAACCATACTTGGATGGAAAATGCTGAAAATACAAGTAAATTAAAACCGTATTTTTAAGTTACTAAAACTAGAAACTTTTGAGTTATGCTCGGCGTTTCGACTTTTCTTAATCGTATTTTTTAACTTGTGTACGCTCCATTTATCTTGGTTTAAAAGCAATTTAATTAATGAATTGAAAATTGTTTTTCTTCTTAAATATGGTGTTAAATCACCGTTATTTAGGTTTCATTGTAAAAAAAAGAGATTTTTACTTTAACTTAATTAAAATTTATTGTTTTTTTTAACAATTCGAGAAATATGAATGTACATTTAATTGCACATAGTGCTACTTAATATAAAACGAAATACAATAAAGAAATAGATGTAGTCTTTCTTTTTACAAAATTTGTGCAATCATGGAATACAATGAGATTCTTTTTTTAATTTGTGAACTCAAATTTATATTGATCTGGTATAAAACTAAATCTAAAAAGTAAGCATGAATTGAAAAATTAATTTGGGGGAATATATGAATATAGAAAGTGAAATATTTTTTTTCCTTATATCAAGGACAACATTACACATTATAGATTAATTTCTTAATTCCTAACATTAATTACAAATTAAATAATTAATCATTTTTAAGAAAGATTTTTTCTAAACAGTCTTATTTTAAAATTTGTTGTCATTTTCTTTCATTTCTTATTTTTTATGTTTTATATAAGAGATATTCTTTCAATACTTTTGGTAAAGGAAGAGATGAAACACCTTTTTTTGTTATATGTTGTAAAATAGCATCACGACAAGCCGACTGAAGTGTTGGAACTACAAACAAAATAATTATTAAATAATAAAAAAAATCTTTTAAATGTATACCTCCATATAATTGGATAATCCGAATTTTCTTAGTTGTTCCATAAACATCTACAACTACATGCAACGGTGCATCAGTAAAAGGAATATGTCGAACACAAACTCCTTGATCTTCCCCATTAATAATATAATGCATATTTGCCTCTCTATCATTTGTAGGAATATACATAACACCAATACGACTAAATGTATCTGTAGGTAAAATGCTAACACTATGTTTTGTTGGTTTTAACATACTGAGGGGTACTAAACCACGACCAGTTCTTATAACCCCATTATCACTAGTTATTGATTTTAGACTTGTTGCACGATTATAAGAAACACTATACATCTACAAACTTGTTTTAAAAAAATCATTTCTTAATAAATAACTTAATTTTTACCTGATTACTTGCTTTTGTAATACCATAAATCCAAGACAATCCGATATTTGCTAAGTCAGGTAAAGCATAGGGCGGAATAATACCAGTTTGGCATATAGTATGTGGGTCTAATTGAGTAAGTCCCAAACGCATATGTCCACTCCAACCACTTTCATTTTGTTCAATTTCAAGCAAGAATATTTCACAAGGTTGTAATGGTTTTTCACTGAAAGTAACTGCATTTGCGAAACTTTTCTTGCGATAAGCGACGGTGTTATCTTCAGAAAGCACTATATTTTCGCCGTGGAATGAATGAAATCTGGTAACCGTACCTGTACTACTGGAATGAGACATAAGTTTTTCTGATTTAACCATTGTTTTCAAAATATTTTTATTCATATGTTTAATCCTTGAAATGTTACGATTTTTCTTGATTAGTGTTTATTAGCATACTTTTTCATTTAGATATGATTCCATATTTATTTTGTAAATATTTTATTATTATAAAATGAAGGTGTTTTGTATTTTGACAGGTATGAAACATAACCTTCTTTTCTTATGTCAATATGACAGAACTTAAAATGGGCTTAATTGCTTAATTTTTAATTTAAATATATTTTAAAATGAAAATTATTTAAATTATATTAATAATAACGTTATATTAGTGAGATTTACTTTAAACTTAATAAAGGAAAATTTTAAACGATCGCAAGGTGGGTAATTGATAGATGGCGCAACGAAGCACTCATAAAAATAGTGAGTGATTAAAGAATTACGCGTTTTTTTATTGTTAACAATGTTAATAAATTATTTATATAATTTAAACTAAAAATAGTGATCGGTTTTGATATAAATAAAAATTTAATTATAAAATTACTTTGCAAGTAAATTATGCGCACAACTAATAGATGGCGCTACAAACGGTGCTGTATTTCCTTTTTTGTACATAACCTCAATTTGTACTAATTTAAAAAATTAAAATGTTTAATTTTGAAAGATATCCTTTTAGTAATGAAGTAAAGGAAGATCTAGCCGATTTTTTAAAGGTAGCCCGTAAAAATTCCGAAACCCCACAGCATAAAGTGTGGGAAAATGTTCTACCACAGGTACTGAATGAAATGGTAAAGATATTATTAAAAAAACGTTTTTTTTTTAGAATAAAGAATTAATTAATAAACTGGATACAATAATTATCGAGAATAAATCTACTATAGATTTAACTGATGATAGTATTTCGAAAAATATAAATGATAAAGATACAAGTAACATCTCAAATGATAGTGCGGATGATGTCTTAATAATTGATGATTTCAATCAGAAATTAAGAATAGATGCAATTAAAGATATAGCTGTCCCTTTAATAGAATTAACATCCATTGAAGAATTTGATGAAGCACTAAACCAAATCTCATCAAGTTACAACAATAATGATATTGAACAAATTTTTTTAACACTCTCAGATATGGTAAATGCAGATCAAACATTTATTATTGGAGATTCTATATTGAATGCGAGTTATGACAAAAAGTTGGAAATAACCCAATTTTATTTAAGACATTTATTATTACCTAAACTATTCATTGATAACAATAAACAATTATTATTAATGCTCAAAAAATACTTTGAGTCATCAAATTTGAGTTTAACTTGCGATGAATTTTCCCAATCTCTTAATAAATATAAAAATTATCCTCTTGGTTTAATATGTACATTACAAGATTTAAAATTACAAAATAAAAAGCAATTATTAAGGTAATTTTTATTAATAATTATTGAATTAATAATAAAAATAAAATAAATTTTTTTTAGGACATTTATTTTGAACACTTCAACATTGCATCAAAATCATTTTTTAATAATTGAAGCTTTATTACACAATGATATTCAAATTGAAACTCTTAAAAGAATGATGCATTTATTTAGTAGTATATCATCAACGTTTCCGGACGATAAGATTTTTGGAAAGATGCTGTTAAATGTTATTAAACGCTGCAAAAAGAACGTTGTACATTTTAAAAAGGAGTTTAATATTATTATTAACAATCACCAATCTGTATGGAAAAATAGTTTGGAAAAGGAAATTGATGAAAATATGGAAAATAATTCGTTGTTATCACAAAGTTTAAGATACTAAAATAATAGTTATTTTGTTTAAATTAAATTCGTTTAATTTAATTCAAAATATTTATTTTCAACAACACAACCTCAATCTTATCTATTTTTAAAGGTATATAGGTGTCGGTAATGTATAATAACCAATTTTACCATCATCATTTTCAATTTCATGGTAGTCAATTTCCCCCCCAGGTTCAGCATGTTCATTCCAAAAATCGGTTAAAATCGAAGATAAAGAATTTGTCCAAGCTTTTTCGGAATGATCACACCATAATTCCTCCAGCACATTCTCCAATTTAACACTCAATATTTTCGCTTTGTGTAAAAGAGAAAAAGCCGCATTTTCTTGATACCTGATATATTTATAAAACGCTTTTAAATGGTAATATCTCGGTGCTATAACCGAAACGACGCGGCTACTTCGTTCTAGATTGTTTAAAAGAATTTTGATTTCTTGAAAAGCTTGCGAAACAGCGCGGACGTTTCTGCTATTTAATTTGCCAACCATAAAAATTAATAAACCTTCTAAAAAGTATAAAGCGGTGTAAATGTTTGCCAAAGAATCGTAAGATTTTCCACCGATTGAAAATTCTTGAAGTTTTGTTTGCCAAATTAAAGCTTTTTCATAATCACCAGTTCGTATAGCCCAAAGCCATAATACCGTAAAATATCTTGTAACCGCCTCCATATCTCTTACAGTTGACATCACTTCACCTTCAATATGATAAATTTTCTCACATTCCAAATAAGGTATTACGCAATAACCGGTTTCTATTTGCACACCGACACATAAAGCATAATACCAAATTCTTCCTGAATTATCAATATCCTCAGCTGCATAATATTCCATTTCAAATAAAATCGTAACAGCTTCCATTAATCTTTTCCTCATAAGTAAAGCTTGAACCAATAAAACCATCACTTTTAATGAATAAGGGGCCGCATTTAAAGTGCTACTTATTCTCAACATAATGAAAGCTAAATCAATTGAATGTTCTAATTCAGATCTTAAAAATCTTGAACAAAAAATCACCCCGTATAGTTTACAAACACCTTTTAATTCTTGCGGTTCAACGTTGGATTTTTTTCGATGGCACATTCTTAATGCGTGAACTTCCAAAGCGATACTAATAGTTCTATTGCCTTTGTGATTTGCAATTTGCAACATATTCGCGTAAGCGTTGCAAAGAATATAAAAATCCATATTTGATTCTAAAGCTTTTTGTAAACTCATAAGTGCTGCTAATTCGGCATGTTCCCACATATTTAAATCCATATAAAGATTACACATTATAGCCAAACAATTTGAAACGTCATCGCAAAATTCAGCCTCGTAACCTTGTTTAACAATAAACGGTCTCATTATACAAAAAAGTGAAAAATTTTGTTTTAAGTTTAATCGTTGCGTTTTCATGCGGATTTCATTTTTCCTAACGGGAAATGGTATACCATAATCTTTCATTGCTTTTAGAAATTGATCTTTAGCTTCGTTTGTATTACCCAAATCCAATTGACATTTTGCGTATAAAGTACCAATACGAGCCCTAGTCAATGGTATTTGCCAATCGGCGCCTTCTTCAGTACATTCTTTATAAGTAGTTTCCAAGAAATTCGTCGCTCGTTTCAAAATTTTTAACGCTTGAGGAACATTGAACGATAAAATACAAAGATACGCGTATTCTAAAAGAGCGTCCATCAATTTACTTCTAATATCGGCTCCTTCGCAATGTTGAATTAATTGATAATACATTGCGCTTAAAATTTGTGGACATTGACAATGCGTAAAATCGGCGTACGAAAACGTTTTTGTTAACGATGGGCGATAACGTAATATTTTTATTATTTTCATTCCTAATTTATTACGCCTTAGGATTTCTTAAAAATGTGTTGTGTCAATTTTATTTAATATCTTTATACGTAGTGATTCAGTTAAGTGAGTTAATAATACCATGTGAATATCAACTGTTTAAACATCGATACCAAGAAGGAGATTGTTATAAAATTGACGAGATAAAATTGTAAAGCTTTACATAATAAATTGTCTCATAGCGAAAAAAGAAGCAGAAACTTATCGAGTAGAACTATACCAGTAAAAATTATTAAAGCAAGTGAACAAGAAGCCAGAAATGAAATTGCAACTATTATGGAAAACGGAAATATGTAGCACAAAATCAAGTCAAAACTTGCATGAGGCACATCATGACATATGGAATAGAGACTGGATAAAGAATATAGACATGATGAAAATATTTCATACAAAAAAGGTTTAGAATTAACCTATAAAACATATCCAATAAGTTATTTTAGTCCACCGATCAGTAGTACCAACTCAACCTAAGAAAAATAGAATTTTTGACGTTTTCAACAGTTTTCTTCTATAACTCAATAATTATAACCTATGGAAAAAAACATTTCATACAAAAAAGGTTTAGAATTAACCCATAAAACATATTCAATAAATTATTTTAATCCACCGATCAGCAGTACCAACCCGACCTAACAAAAATAGAAATTTTAACGTTTTCAATAATTTTCTGCTATAACTCAATAATTATAACCGATGGAAAAAATATTTCATACAAAAAAGGTTCACAATAAACCCATAAAACATATCCAATATGTTATTTGAACCCACCGACCAGCAGTATCAACCCAACGTAAGAAAAATAGAAATTTTGACGTTTTCATTATCTTGTATAACTCAATAATTATAACCGATGGAAAAAAACATTTCATACAAAAAAGGTTTAGGATTAACCCATAAAACATATCCAATAAGTTATTTTAGTACATCGATCAGCAGTACCAACCTAACCCAAGAATAGAAATCTTGACGTTTTCAACAATTATCATGTATAACTTAATAAATATAACCGATGGAAAAAAACATTTCATACAAAAAAGGTTTAGAATTAACCTATAAAACATATCCAATAAGTTATTTTAATCCACCGATCAGCAGTGCCAACCTAACTCAAGAAAAATAGAAATTTTGACTTTTCAACAATTATCTTGTATAACTCAATAATTATAACCGATGGAAAAAAACATTTCATACAAAAAAGGTTTAGGATTAACCCATAAAACATATCCAATAAGTTATTTTAGTACATCGATCAGCAGTACCAACCTAACCCAAGAATAGAAATCTTGACGTTTTCAACAATTATCATGTATAACTTAATAAATATAACCGATGGAAAAAAACATTTCATACAAAAAAGGTTTAGAATTAACCTATAAAACATATCCAATAAGTTATTTTAATCCACCGATCAGCAGTGCCAACCTAACTCAAGAAAAATAGAAATTTTGACTTTTCAACAATTATCTTGTATAACTCAATAATTATAACCGATGGAAAAAAACATTTCATACAAAAAAGGTTTAGGATTAACCCATAAAACATATCCAATAAGTTATTTTAGTACATCGATCAGCAGTACCAACCTAACCCAAGAATAGAAATCTTGACGTTTTCAACAATTATCATGTATAACTTAATAAATATAACCGATGGAAAAAAACATTTCATACAAAAAAGGTTTAGAATTAACCTATAAAACATATCTAATAAGTTATTTTAATCCACCGATCAGCAGTGCCAACCTAACTCAAGAAAAATATAAATTTTGACTTTTCAACAATTATCTTGTATAACTCAATAATTATAACCGATGGAAAAAAACATTTCATACAAAAAAGGTTTCGAATTAACCCATAAAACATATCCAATAAGATGATATGAGTATGAGACATGATGATGAGACATGATGATATGAGTATGGGATATATCATGAAGACCACTCAAAAAATTGTACACACTTCGACTACGACTTCAGAATTTAACAAATGAACTGGTCTAAAACAAGTGGAAGAAGACAGTAATAGAAAATTTGGAACTGCTTAATTATTGGCAGAAATTAAAAGTTTCAGAATAACTTCACTTAACTGAATCACTTTGTATATTAAAAATAACAAACCAGATGATCTTCTTAGTAATCCTGATCTTATAGAAGATCCATCACTATAATTCGACCAATTTAAGCTTCTAACTTCCCCTGTTGTACTGCTTCCAGGTGACATTGACACTTTTCTTGTCATCATTGCATCCACTGCCCGAACATCTCTTTTTACTTTAACTTGTTTAGCCTTTTTTTTCATGCCCTAAAAATATGAAATGAATACATTTTTACCTTAAAAGGAATTAATTTTGTTTACATCGTCATATCTGACTCCTAAAACCCGAATAAAGAATGAATTTCCACAACTCTTACACTTTCTCGTTTCTTTTTCTAAATAACGAGCAGCTCTTGCGTGAAATTCTTTTCGTTGGCAATCCGTTAATAAATTATAAGTCGACTCACGAAATGCGTCCAATGAAAATTTAAACATTCCACAAGAAGCATATTTTGGTAAATCTTTACAAGCTTCTAAAAGAATAAATTAAAATGTATACCTAATGTATGATATAGTAATCATAGTTACTTGCACTGTCTCACATAAAATGCAACATAGCTTCTAGTTATTAATTAAATTAACACTAGACCTAGAACTAGAAACTTTCGGTTTAGCCATGCGTTTTTTGAAAAAATGTTTGACGTTCCGGATGCCATGTTGCAACCTTCTTCAGAAACAAGTTCGAAGTGGCGAATTCGGTTAAAATTTGACAATAAATACATGAAAAGGTAATTAATAACTAATTAGTGTCGAATTGTCAACATGTCATGTTGTGAAGTGGAAGCGGCTATTCGCAGAATACCTGCAGTGAAAGCAGAAGAAATTCGTCAAGACATAGCGAGAGTGCTTAAAACAGCAAGGCCACCAAAATCAAACTTAACATTGAACGAAAAACCAGGCAAGATCAAGAGCCTTTCGAACCCAGCCACCTATAAGAAAATAAAAAACGACCCAACCGAGAAGATAGTAAGGAAAATGAAAGAACTGGTAAAATCCACAGAAATCCCAGCAGATCAACAGAAAAGCTTATTCGTACAGGCTCCAGTACCACCAAGGATATATGGATTACCCAAAATCCATAAACCAGACGTCCCACTGCGCCCTATTGTCAGTGCCATAAATTCTCCCACCTATCAGCTAGCAAAACACTTTTCCAAGATTCTGTCTCCTTTTACAGGTAGAACAGAGTCATATATCAGAGACTCCCCACATTTTGTAGAATCAATTAGGAGTATGAAACTAGACCCTCAGGATATGCTGGTAAATTTCGACGTGGAATCTCTATTCACCAGAGTACCAGTCAAAGATGCCGTGGATGGTCTTCGCCAGAAACTCATCCCGGAGGGTTTGCCCAAGTATGTCCCAGGACTAGTGGAGTACTGCCTATCGTCGACATACTTCAGCTGGAAGGGGGAATTCTACGAGCAATGCGAAGGGGCAGCCATGGGATCACCTCTGTCTCCTGTGATAGCCAATTTTTGCATGGAGATGTTTGAAGAGGAAGCGTTAAAGAAGAGTCCGAAGCTATGGCTCCATTACGTCGATGACTCTTTCGTGATCTGGCAACATGGAAAAGAGCAACTCCAGGAATTTCTAGACCACCTCAATTCACAGCACCCAATGATAAAATTTACCATGGAAACAGAAACTGCAAAACAGTTGCCATTTCAAGATGTGTTAGTCACTAGGAAAACAAATGGGAGCATGGAACTGGGAGTATATCGAAAGAAGACGCAGACGAATAGAATAACCACCCACAACAGAAGAGGTCCGTGATTCAAACCTTATTTCAGCGAGCAGAGAGGATATGCGATAAAGAGAAGCGAAGAACAGAAGAAAGATTCCTAGAAGATGTGCTACAGAATACGATGGGAGATATCCGACAAGCCACCAAACCACTCAAACAGAAGGTTGACTCGGTAAGTACGACACCAGCCGGTTTTATCTGCCTTCCTTGTGTTTCAGGTGTGACGGAGCGAATTGCGAGGCGTCTGAAGAAGAATGATATCGTGGTACGATACGGTACGGTCAGCAAAATATAAAACGCTCTTCCAATAGCCAAAGACAAACTAACCCCATTAAGAGTCTACCGGCTATCGTGCAGTTCCGGGAAATATTACGTTGGCCAAGCTGGACGTAACATCGAGTGTCGCATTAAGGAACACAAGAGGAACGTCGCAGAGCAATGCCACATAGGAGGACACAGCATAGAGTTCGAGAAACCCAAAGTGCTAGCAAGAAACGGACATTACTTCCAAAGATTGACGAGAGAGGCGATAGAGATTCATCGACATGAGAATAACATGAATAGAAAAGATGGTTGGGAACTCAGTCGCACATGGAAGATGCTAGTGAACTCAACGAAGCCTTCTCCACCCGGATTTGACAAAAACAACTTAGTTGACAATTAGACACTAATTAGTTATTAATTACCTTTTCATGTATTTATTGTTAAATTTTAACCGAATTCGTCACTTCGAACTTGTTTTTGAAGAAGGTTGCAACATGATATCCAAAACGTCAAACATTTTTTCAAAAAACGCAAAAGTTTCTAGTTCTAAGTCTAGTGTTAGTTGTAGTGATAGTTTTAGTTTAATTAACACCGGCCGTGAAAGCCTTCGTACTTATAGCTTCTAGTTTTACACGAACGAACACTGTTACTATGTAGAACAGTGTTAGTTCTACATAGTAACAGTAGAATCATTTGGGTTTAGCCGCACGTCTCTAAAGACGGCTAAAGCCGAATGATTTTAGTTTTAGGTATAGTATTAATTCTAGTTTTACACTTGTACTGTCACTAGAACTAACATTAGACCTAGAACTAGAAACATTTGGGTTGGGTCAGCTAAAGAGGGCTAAACACGAATGATTTTAGTTCTTGGTCTAGCGCTGAATAACAATTAAAACTAGAACTAACACTAGACCTAGGACTAGAAACATTCGGGTTTAGCCGTTTTTAACCAACCCAACCCAAATATTTCTAGTTCTAGGTCTAGTGTTAATTTTACTTTTACACTAACATTGTTACTATGTAGAACTAACACTATACCTAAAGCTAGACTCATTTGGGTTTAGCCGCACGTCCCTAAAGACGGCTAAACCCGAATGATTCTAGTTCTAGGTATAGTGTTAGTTCTAGTTTTACACTTGCACCGTCACTAGAACTAACATTAGACCGAGAACTAGAAACATTTGAGTTGGGTTGGGTTGGGTCAGCTAAAGAGGGCTAAACACAAATGATTTTAGTTCTTGGTCTAGCGCTGAATAACCATTAAAACTAAAACTAACACTAGATTTAGAACTAGAAACATTCGGGTTTAGCCGTCTTTAGCCAACCCAACCCAAATATTTCTAGTTCTAGGTCTAGTGTTAATTTTACTTTTACACTAACATTGTTACTATGTAGAACTAACACTATACCTAAAGCTAGACTCATTTGGGTTTAGCCGCACGTCTCTAAAGACGGCTAAACCCGAATGATTCTAGTTCTAGGTATAGTGTTAGTTCTAGTTTTACACTTGCACTGTCACTAGAACTAACATTAAACCGAGAACTAGAAACATTTGAGTTGGGTTGGGTCAGCTAAAGAGGGCTAAACACAAATGATTTTAGTTCTTGGTCTAGCGTTGAATAACCGTTAAAACTAAAACTAACACTAAACCCGAATGATTCTAGTTGTAGGTATAGTGTTCTATATTTTTGTATATTGCATCTTAAGTGAAATTCACTGTGTATTGAAATGATTAATTCAAATTATTATCACCGTAAGGTCGTATCCCTTTACAATCACATTTTACAGTTGTAAATCTTGATGGTGGTAATAACCGAGCTTCGAACGCCATCATCATATCACCTTGAGTAAAATCGCCGCGTGCGCAATAAAGAACTTTAATCTCAAAAAGAGCTTTAACAGCTGTTTAATATAAAATATTTTAATTAATTGATATTAAATTATTTTCAAATTTACCTAAAGCTGTAGTTCTCATATCCATACAATTCATAACGTAATTCAACATATCTCTTGGGATGGTGTCACCAATGACGGCACTACATTTTAATAATAATTGCTGATAAGAAGATAAAGCATCGTACGTTTTTAAAATTAAAACTGAAATAATTTTTTTTAATTTGAACTTTTTTTATGATATTAAATAAGATTTTATTTATACCGTCTAATGACCATTCCGCATCGACATCATAAATATTTTCGTTTTTGTTGATAACGCATATTTGCCAAATATTACTCATTAAATCAAGTGAGGAGGCATATAAACTACCTTTTTCTTCAGCTTCCTTGAAAGATTTATCGAATATATAGTTTTCCTTAATCAAGAAAATCCTTTACCTCGTAATTAAAATCGTACATTCTCCATTTTCCATCAGTGCCCCTATTTCGATTATCCGCAGCTAATAACTCTGCTCTTAATGCTGCTGGCGTTTTCCTCGTAAATACAGCGTTAGGAGGTACAATTAACCCCAAATCTTTTATATCTGCAAAAGTTGTATCGACAATCACAATTCCTCCACCTTGAACTAAACTAACCAAGAAACTTTCAATCCAACCCGGATTTCCATTACTTCTTGTTTGAATAACTCTAAATAAAAAAAAATACATTTTTATGATATATGTGTTGATAATTAAATGAAAACTTTTCTAAATCAACTGGAATTGCTTGAATGTCTAAAATTTGGCATGCTAATCCAGCATGAAACCATTTATCGATGGGTCCAAGATTAATCAACCGACTATAATGATTGTTAAGAACCTTTTTGGCCGATTCAGTTAAACTATTAATACATGGTTTATAAATAGTGAGAACTGTAAATGAAACGTCGGTTTCAATAATTTCTTGAAGATAAGCCCAAGATTCGTTGTCCATATATTGAACTTTTCTAAGAGCAACTACCCAAAAAGAAGAAAAACACTACAAAAAAAAATTCATTATCAAAAAAATTGAAATAAGCAATTTTTTACCCCATAACATAATTGTTTAATCATTTTTCCCGTTGCCAATTTTTTTTGTGCAGCTGTTAAAGAATTGAAAAGTGCAGTTTTTTCGAAATCAACGTGAAAGATTGGATTTAAAAGACACAACAGTTCCGGAACTTTCATATTTCTTAAACGACTCAATAAACGAATTTCTCGTTCTTTTGCTGAACATTTCGCAGTAATCCCCAAAGGCCCGGAAAAGTACAACTGGATCCCTCTAAAAGGAACTTTATGATCGCTCGTGTGCAATTTAACAACCGTCATAGGTATATTCTTTGGATTTAAATAAACCAATTCATCTAAAAGGCGACATTTTCCTTGACGAGCATCACCGGATATAATCAAAGTGTTATGATGACTGTATGTTCTCAAACCATCATGAAACCCAGTTTGGCGTCTTTTATAAAGTTCTTCGGCACTTTGTATCATTTTTAAATAAAGTATTAAATGTTCGTCGCGGCCCAAAAGCGGGTATTTATTAATTTCTTCGCCTTCCGCTTTAATACTTAAATCACAATTTTAAAATTAACCAATACAAAAAAAATTAAACTTACTAATGAGATTCTCTAAATTCATAAACAGGTCCGGTTTTTGTAATTCCTTTCAACGTTTTATATTCTTGTAAAATAAAATTGGAAGCTTGTAATTTACTATGTAAGAAAGTTTCTCGGTCGCAAGTAACTTTATTGGTGTAGGCGCACATTAAACGTGCCGCTTTATTTACTGTTAAACTAATAACGGTGTATTCTCTTCTCAATGTATGACCGACAACACCGCAATATGTTATTCCCGTGGTAACACCAATTGATGTTGTTTTTACATCGGGAAGAGAATTAATTTTCTCAAACATTAAAGTTGCACATCGTAATCCAACTTGGCAATTTAATTCGTGTTTAAATCCTCTTAATCCAAATATAACAACAAACATCAAATCTTTATCGAACAATGAGACTTTGTTTACGCAACCTTCCATTGAATTTGAAATTCTAAAATCAACCAAGAAAAAATATTTTTAATGTTAGACCGTTCGGGCTTACTTGCAAACGTATTTATAACAAGTGTCAACCAAATCAACAAAATCATCTATTTTTATTTTTGTTATCACAACATTCATAAATAAAATTGTTATTTGTCTCATTTCTGTTAAATATTCTAAGGGTTCGTTCATATCTATCCCGCGCATCACCGGTTTTATTATATATTTTCTTAAATGTTCTTTTAAATTCATTTTTACAGCTTCGTTTACCATTGGACGTACTAAAAAGAGGCAAAATAAAGAGTTTTTATTTTTAAAGAGATTAGCTTAATTATTTACTTGAAAAAGTGTCATTTCCAATTTCAGTTTTTGTATTAGATTCATCTTCATCCACTAGAAAAACAATAATTAGTAAGTTACAATAATTTTTTATAAAAATTACATTGTTTTTGGTGTTTATATGATTTTTGAGTACTTCTCCAATTTGCACCCAAACCCATAACCTATCTCAAAAAAAATGTTATATTTTATTCAAATATCTTGAAAAGTGTAATCTCGGCTAATTGTTATTACCGATTAAGACGTATTTTTTACAAATTCATGCGTGTCTTAACCCTTTGTGTCCCAAGAAGTCAAAAATTTTGAAACTTTGTGAAACTTTGTTGCATTAAAATATATTTTAGTGATGGTGCAAGTATACAAAAACTTTTATTATTAATACAAAAATAATACATTTTTTATTGCGTTAGAAAATAAGTAACACTTGCTTTAGCTAAATCACATTATGCCATTCACAAAAACAGTTCTTTCTTTCATTACAACATAAATAAACATTGCACGCAGTACATTTTGAGTGGGGTCTAGCTTTGGCAGAACAATTTTCACAACTCCCTCTTTCTTTTGAACTTGCGCTGCGACATTTTCGTGGACGCAGTAAATTTGAATATTTATATATCAGACTCAAATGAGACTTGTTCTAAATTAAAGTTCAAAGCTTTCTCTTTAAAATAATGTATAATAATTGTTGGGTTGGATTGGAAAAATATTGAGAGAAAAAATGTTGAAATAAAACTTACATTTTCGTATAACCTAAGTGTTAAAAAAGGTGCTGAATTAAAAATTCCTGGAAGCCGTATTTATTGAAATTATATTGAAATTGTTCTAAATTAAAGCTCAAAGTTTTCTCTTTAAAATGATGTATAATAATTGTTGGGTTGGATTGGAAAAATATTAAGAAAAAGAACGTTGAAATAAACTCACATTTTCGTATAACTTAAAACTGTCAAAAAAGATGTTAATTTAAAAATTCCTGGAAGCCGTATTTATTGAAATTAAGGAATGAGACTTGTTTTAAATTAAAGTTCAAAGCTTTCTCTTTAAAATGGTGTATAATAATTGTTGGGTTGGATTGGAAAAATATTAAGAAAAAGAAGTTGAAATAAAACTTACATTTTCGTATAACCTAAAACTGTCAAAAAAGATGCTAATTTAAAAATTCCTGGAAGCCGTATTTATTGAAATTAAGGAATGAGACTTATTCCAAATTAAAGTTCAAAGCTTTCTCTTTAAAATGGTGTATAATAATTGCCGGGTTGGATTGTAAAAATATTAAGAAAAAGAATTTTGAAATAAAACTTACATTTTCGTATAACCTGAAACTGTCAAAAAAGATGTTAATTTAAAAATTCCTGGAAGCCGTATTTATTGAAATTAAAGAATAAGACTTGTTCTAAATTAAAGTTCAAAGCTTTCTCTTTAAAACGATGTATAATAATTGTTGGGTTGGATTGGAAAAATTTTAAGAAAAAGAATGTTGAAACAAAACTTACATTTTCGTATAACAGAAAAGTGTCAAGAAAGATACTAATTTAAAAATTTCTGGAAACCGTATTTATTGAAATTAAGGAATGAGACTTGTTCTAAATTAAAGTTCAAAGCTTTCTCTTTAAAATGGTGTATAATAATTGTTGGGTTTAATTGGAAAAATATTAAGAAAAAGAACGTTGAAATAAAACTCACATTTTCGTATAACCTAAAACTGTCAAAAAAGATGCTAATTCAAAAATTCCTGAAAGCCGTATTTATTGAAATTAAGAAATGAGACTTGTTCTAAATTAAAGCTCAAAGCTTTCTCTTTGAAATGATGTATAATAATTGTTGGGTTGGATTGGAAAAATATTGAATTTTAAAATAAAACTTACATTTTCGTATAACCTAAAACTGTCAAAAAAGATGCTAATTCAAAAATTCCTGAAAGCCGTATTTATTGAAATTAAGGAATGAGACTTATTCTAAATTAAAGTTCAAAGCTTTCTCTTTAAAATGGTGTATAATAATTGTTGGGTTAGATTGAAAAAATATTAAGAAAAAGAATTTTAAAATAAAACTTACATTTTCGTATAACCTAAAACTGTCAAAAAAGATGCTAATTTAAAAATTCCTGGAAGGCGTATTTATTGAAATTAAGGAATGAGACTTGTTCTAAATTAAAGTTCAAAGCTTTCTCTTTAAAATGATGTATAATAATTGTTGGGTTGGATTGGAAAAATATTAAGAAAAAAAATGTTGAAATAAAACTTACATTTTCATATAACCTAAAACTGTCAAAAAAGATGTTAATTTAAAAATTCCTGGAAGCCGTATTTATTGAAATTAAGGAATGAGACTTGTTCTAAATTGAAGCTCAATGCTTTCTCTTTAAAATGATTGAACCCCCACAGTGCGGATTGTGTTATTTTTTATACAGATTCTTTCTTGTATAGTAGAAAGTACCGACAGCTCTAAATGCGCCGAATAGATGACTAAAACGAGTGTTTAAAACTACCGGTACTTTAAAGTACCGTCGGGACACAAAGGGTTAAGACGGCTAAACCCGAACATTTCTAGTTTTAGATCTAGTGTTAATTTTACATTTAGCTTAAGAAAAATGTACAACAATTTAACGATAGATAACAAGTAAAACTAGAACTAACACTAGATCTAGAACTAGAAATATTCTGGAAATTTTCTAGTTAGATTTCTCAGAGTCTCTCAAGACGGCTAACCCCGAATATTTCTAGTTCTCGGTCTAGTGTTAGTTCTAGTTTTACACAAGCACTATCACTAGAACTAACACAAGACCTAGAACTAGAATCATTAGTTTTAGTGTTTGTTCAGCGCTTGGTTGTTGTATATTTTTTATTGAACTAGACATTCGGGTTTAGCCGTGCTTTTTAGGTTACCTTTATATGAATTCCATCTTCCATATATTCATATAAATATTCGCTAGGATTCAAATAATTCCAAGCAGTATGACAAATCATAACATCACCAGCAACGCTTTTCTTTTCAGCCGATTTAACATCAAATATCGGTTGGCCAATAACGATATAATGGGAATCGTGTTGATCACCGATAATCGAAAATACAACAAAACCGGCTGATATTGCTAATTTAACTCTTAAAAAAACTCCAACGTCAGTTTCGTATTTTCCATGTGTTTTTTGGATAACCAACGCGCAATCGACCGCTTGATGAATACAATCTTGCATGGAATCGTTAACGCCACTTTTCCACATGGCAAGGAAAGCATCTCCGGAAAATTTTAAAACGTCCCCGTTATATGACATTATTTCTTGGACCATTGTGCCAATGTACGCGTTTAAGACGTGCGTTAATCTTGAAGGGCCACCTTTTCCAGTTTTGTTGTATTTTTCACATAAATCGGTAAAGCCGGAAACGTCGCCGAAAAGCAAACAAACATCGTAATTTCTATGACTGTAATCGTTACAATTTGCTATTATCTCGTCAGGTACTAATGAAGCCATCACTTTTATGTTATGTTCATCTCCGGTTGTCGACCCTGATTTATTACTTGTTATGGAAAGTTTGGAATCTTCACTAAATCTACGATCTTTCCAATCGTCATTATCATCAACGTAAGTTCTGGTACGCATTGCCCAGATGTATTCTTCTTGACCAACATAATCCACTTAAACACAATATAATTAGATAGATGATAAACTTAAAAATTAACGTATAAAACTTACGTTGTTCCATCATCTTGTTAAAATGAATATTTTAAAATTGTCGTTAAAATAAAATTGATTAATTTTATGTTTACATTCGTTGCCATGAAAATTTCAGTTATTTTTGGGCATTAATGAAATAATAATAGAATTTATTTTAATTTTATTATATTCTTTATAATTGGGTCCAGTTGATCTCCATTTTAAATTTTTTATTAATATCTAATATTATAAGAAGATGGGAAATAAAACATCTTGAACTAAAATATACGTGTATCGTATAAAATCATAATTTATTCAAAATTTAATTTAAATTAAAGCTAATTTAATGTTCTTGTCTTAGTCGATCCAAGAAAGGAATAATTAGACTAAATTGGTGGGCGTTTATCTTTCGCATATGCAAATATATAAAGCCATTTCGATTTTCCTTAATTAATACTCGTCAGTTGAATACGTTTAAAACAAATATTGTGAAAATGGAAGATCAAGATGTTTCAGAATCTCATCGTATGAAAGCGTTTAAAATTACTATTTTTATCCATAATCGGTTCTAACCCAGTTAAAATCAAAAAGGATGCTTATACGCGATTTATAATTGGTTTTTTTACGGTTGTGCAATTTCACAATACCGTACTTTTAGTAACAATGATTTGTATGAGTTTAAATAATATGGACGATCTTGGTGAAATTATGACTTGCGTTGCTGGAATGTATCAGGTGGGTGTATTGAAAAACTTATTTCTAACTAAAATGCTTATTAAAAACTTATTCTTTTACAAATATTTTTTCATTCAAAGTAGTTGCATTTCAAAAATTGATTTTGAGTAGAAAAATCTTCTGCAAGCAGAATCTACATTTTTATAAGCGATATGGAGTCTCCTATCACTAGAATGTAGTCCTCTTCCAAGCTGTGTTTAAACGTCTGTAGCAGATCTAGTTTTCTATTAGAAGTATCTAGACTTTTAAGTCCTCTGTTGGAACTATTTAGTTTTGTATAAGCAGTTATCTATCAGTAGTATCAAGTGTTTTGTCTGCAGTATCTAGTCTTCTATAAGTAGAATCTTTTGTTCCAGTGGCAGTATTTAGTTATTTATCAGCAGTACTTACTCTTAAACAGCAAGATCTAGTTTTTTGCCAGTAGTATCTCTTATCTGAAAACAGATCTGGATCATTTAACTACAGTACTTAATCTTCTACATCAAGATCTAGTTTCTTGCCAGCAGTGCCTCGTCTCTATAAGCAAATCGGGAATTCTATTAGCAGTGTTTAGTACGTTGTTAGCATTATCCAGCCTTCATAAGGAAAATCTACTTTTCGAATAGCAGTATCTAATCATTTGTCAACAATACTTAATCATCTGCAAAAAGATCTAGTTATTTGCTAGCAGTATATAATCTCTGCTAACAGATCTGGTCTTCTATAGGGAAGATGTAGTCTTCTGTCAGCAATATCAGTCCTTTATAGGGAGGATATACAGGGTGTCTCAGCAAGACCTGTCATTAGACGTTTCTGGAGTTCTGGCCAAACAAAAAATTTGAGAATGCAGACTTAAGTATTATCAATTACGTTCTCTTCATCTAAAATATTTTCAGATTTCTAGCACTTCCGGTTATACCGNTTCCAAATTTCGAAAAGTTAACGTATCATAGTAAAGTGACCAAACGATCTAGACAGCCGTTCTCGGCACCAAAACATACTCCATCATGTTGTTTAAGCATGTTCTGAATCCTAAATTGATATCTCAAAAATTGAGTGTTCTATGATTTTTTGAACAAATGTCCGCTGCAGCAAATTTTTCTAGAAAAATTCGAATAACTCGAGAATTGCATTTAAAACCGCTGTTGTATTTTGAGAAAATGCTTCCGGTCATTTGGTACACGAAACATTGCCCTATGGAAAATAATCGCTGTTACGCTTACCACTACATACTACAAATATTTGGTGCTACTTTAATGTACTTTAACATAATTGGATTTGATGGTTTCTCGTTGGCTTTAATGGCGGTCGCTTATTGCGAACTGGAAAAGATTAAAATAGGTTTGTAAAATATGCGAAAAATAGCGGAATTAAGAATCAGGAGACAAAGAATCAATGGGAAGGGATGGTGGGAGAAGGGAAGGAGGGGTATATAATAATGGGAGGAGACTTCAACGCGAGAGTGGGGGAAGGG